TTGAAGTTCGTCGTTAGGTAATATTTGAAGTAAATGAAAAGAATTTTTAAATAATATATTTCAAGAAAAACAAACACGATGTTTGATGATCCACGTATAAAAGCTCGATATTTTCTTGAATCATCTTCTATTATATCAGAACTTGAAGATGTTCTCAATCAGCTTGTTTATGAAAAACCCAATGATCTTAATGGTTACATTGTAAGTTAAAAGTGGTTTTCTTTTTACATCAAATTATTCCTCTTTGTTGGCTTGGTTTTTTTCTTAAAATACAATCTATAGGCCAATCATTTTTTGGATCAAAGCAAACAACCACAAATTATTAATTTGACTTTAAAACGATTGATAGGTCCTGCTGATGAACCAGCCATGCATATGGATCTGACAATTGCACTTAGAAATAGAACTGAAGTAAAAAACCACATATAAATATTTAATGATTTTTGTGTTAGTTTTTAAAAAAACAAGTATTGTTTTTTTGAATATAGCAACATAATGGACTAACAGTAAATTTATCATCAGGTAAATTGAATAAACTGACAACCAAACAATTAGATGCACTGGGTAATTATAATAGATTAAGATTTATGAATTTTTTTTTTAAATTTTTATGTTTTTTTCTTTTCAGTCAATTCAGCATCATTAAGAACAATTCTTAATGGAATAGATTTATTCGATCAAATAACTATTGATAATCTTCTTATGTATTGATCTTGCTCTTGTTTTCAATATTTCTATTTTCTCTTGATATTTTTTTTTCTAGAGATTTTCGTTCAAAACATGCTGATGAAATGGCAAAATTAGCGGCAACTGAATCTGAAAATTCAAACAATGAACCTACTTCTGATGCTGCATTAATTAAAGTACCAACAACTACACGTCCACCTACGAGTAGTGGTGGAGCTAAAACAGGTGTTGCTCCAGCACCGAGTAAAAAAGGGTTAGTTATATATATATATATAACTTTGATTCGAAATCTTTTTATATTTTCTAGAGCGGGTAAAGATACACAACCGGTTGAAA